GTTTTCTAGACTGTCATCTTCACAGAACAGTGGCTCCTGTGGATCTACTGGTGGTTTCTAATCACTGACCTTTTGGTCAGCAGCTGACTAGTTAACCTTTGCGCTACCAGGGCTCCTATCTTAAGAAGTAAAGTATTGAATATGCTTGCAACGTCTCTGCCTCCAGTCACTTGATTCAAATTTCAATACGAATTGAATTTATATCTTTCCAGATGTTTTTAAACTCTATATACATATGTATGGGTCGAAGAACATTTGATCTTGTCTTGTGTGTATTCATTAATGTAAGTAAATTACCTCTATCATTGTATGTTCCACACACAGACACAGAAGGCTATATATTTGTATAGTCCCACGTCTATAAAATTAAAACAGGCAGACATAAAGACATAGAAAATAGATGAGTGGTCGCCAGGGGGCCATGCAATCAATTCCAACTCGTAGAAATCCTATAGAACAGTGCAGGGGTGCTTCTTAAGGTTTCTGAGACTATAAGTCTTTTTTCCCACTGCCGGGTTTGAACAGCCACCTTTGAGGTTAGCAGTCCGACACTTAACCTCCTATGGTACCAGGGTTCCATTAGGAATGGCAGTGCCTTCTAATGGTATAAAGTTTACTTTCAAGGTAAGAAAAATATTCTGAACTAGGTAACGGTGGGGGTTCCTGGGTGGCACATGGTGAGCCTTCGGCTACGGACTGAAACGTTGGCAGTTTAAACTTACCCAGAGAGACCTCGAGAGTAAGGCCTGTGATCTGCTTCTGGAAGTCACAGGCTTGAAAACCCTATGACGCAGTTCTATTCTGCATATCCAGGGACCCTAGGAGTCAGAACTAATGGCAACAATAGTGACAGACGCAGTGATGCTTATAAACGCTGCGAACATACTAAACATCACCGTGCTAACTGCTGTTCTCAAATGTAAATAAAGACTACAGTGAGATATCATCTCACCCCCTACAAAAACGGCAATGACCAAAAAACAGAAAACAAACAACTATGGCCGACCCTTAGGAGCCAGCAATCTCACTCCTACATATACATCCTAGCTGAGACCTAAACAGACATATATATGTGGAGGAGCAGCAAAAAAAGAGGAAGACCCTCAATGAGATGGAGTAACACAGAGGCTGTAAAACTGGGCTTGAACAGATCACTGATTGTGAGTATGGTGCACGGGGGCAATGCTTTATGCTGTTGGGCTCGAGGTCACTATGAGTTTGAACCAATCAGAGGGCACAGAACACCACTTCTGGTGTGGCCTGCAGAGTCCGCATCGAACTATGAACCACAAGGTCGGCAGTTCAAACCCACTAGCTGTTCCTTGGAAACCCTATGCAGGGTCGTTAAGAGTCAGAACTGACTCGCTGGCACTTAACAACAACAACAATATGTATATGTGTTCATTACAGCATTATTCAAAATTTCGAAAAGCTGGTAAACAACCTAAGTGCCCATCAATGGATGAATGGATAAATGAGTTTCGCACATACAATGGAATACTACTCAACAATGAAGAACAGTTGAGTCCACAAAACACCTTATAATAGCATGAACGTATCTGCAGAACATTATGTTGAGTGAAATACATCAATAACATAAAGACAAATACATGGGAGTGAAGAAGAGGGGTCTCACTTGTTACTTTAGGTAATGGGAAAGGGGATCCCAAGTAAGGCTGAAGTCAGCACAACCCCACCAAGGTAAATGAAGACACTTTGAAATATGAAGTCAAGTAAAAACCTACTGATACAAAATTACAGAAACCTTTCTTCAACAAAATGTGAAGCTAAATTACTAAAGAACAGACACAGATTAACTTTGGTGACGGGGAAGGCAACTTACAAAAAAGAGAAAAAATTGTACCTAATAGCATGGATCAATTTAGATAAACATTGTAATTTGCGTGTGAACTTTCACCTATTTTTTGTTAAGAATATAGAAGCATACAACCAATCTTAAGACGGTTGCTGTGTATTTATGTAGCATTCTTGAAATAACAAAAACATGGACATGGAGCACTGAGATTAGGAATGGGAGTGGAAGTGCTTGTGGCCAGAAAAGGGCAGCAGGAGGGAATCCGGAATCCTAGACTGTTCATGTGTTTATATCCTGTTGTGATGCTTGGCAGAGGAAAAAGGGCACAGCCTTGGCGTTATTTCTTACAACTGCATGTGAATCTTTTCTCTCAAAAAGAAGAAGAAAGTGGAGCCAACTGTGAAAGGAATGGAAGGAAAGAGGGTATCTGGCAAAAAGAACCACCAGTGCAAAGGTTCAGCAGCTAGAAGAGCTTGGCTAGCTCAAAACGTAGGAGGAAGAAACCAGTATGGCTGGAGCAGAGACAGAACATGAAGGTCGATGCCGGAAATGTAGGTATGGACCCTGTGGCCAGCCGTGGGAAGGTGTCTGGAATTGATGCCAAGTGCACTTAGATGCTTGGGGAAATATTTGGCAGGGGAGAGCTGAGCGAAATGACAAAGGGCCTGCCAAGTCGACCCAAACTTGGCCCTCCTTGCTTGGCCTCTGAACAGTTAACTCCCAAAACCCAAATGGAAGTCCTTTCTTGAGCCAGGGCAAAGCCAGGGGTTCAGCATTACACAGGACAAAGAAAGTCCCCTGAAGCTGTGGATGGAGCCTTGTTTGGAGAAGGTGTCCTTTGCAGATGAAATTAAGGGTCTCAAAATCCTGGGTGAAGGCAGTCCCTGAGCCCAGTGCTAAGTGTTCTTAGAAGAGAAAACAGAGATTTCACACTCACAGGGAAGACGACAGCAGAGAATGGAGTGATGTAATCAAAAGCCAAGGACACCAGGGGTCACAGACACTGAAGAGGCAAGGAAGAATTCACTAAAGCCCTGCCAACACCTCGGCTGTGGATGTCTCCAGAACTATGCAGTAACACATTTCTATTGTTGTAAGCTGTCAAGTCTGTAGTAGTTTGTTACGGCAGCAATAGGAGACTCATAATCCTCCTCCCAAAGACCACCTCCTTCACCTCTGTGAACAGATGCGCTGAGACAGGAGGCTCAATCTCTCCCCTGTGGCTTTCTAACACAGCCCCATTTACAGATGAGTACATCAAGGCCCAGAGAGGGAGAAAGACTAGCAAAGGGAGAGGCCTCAGTGAGTTTAACTCACTTAGATATTCTGTTAAGACCACACAGCATTTTGGTTTTGACTTTTATAATTATGGGATAGTGTATACTCATACCCAGAGTTCAGATAAAGTATTTTCCTCTTGAGCTTGTGATTTTTATGGGGTCTTGGCTGTGTGGCCTAGGGTAAGTGAATTAAACTCTCTGAGCTTCAGACTCATGTGTATAAACATGTAGAAAAAGGTCTCAAGAAGGATTGTGAGGATGTTTAGGGTACCTCTCGGATCAGATTCCACCTGGAGCCTGGGCATGTTCTCCCTGTGACACCCAAGTTAAAGCTCATGGCAGCTTCTTCAGGGAGGAAGTCCGGGGGATCTGGAGGGGTAGACGCTCAATGCTAGTCCAAGCCCCTGCGCAGTTGGCCACGATCTGGGTTTCTGGTCTGTTTGCTTGGTAGGCAAGGGGCTGTGGCTGACATGGAGCGGGACTCTTCCTGCAGTGAAACATCCAAATGCTTCTCTGTGATACTGTTCCTTCCCATTGCTTCTGATCCGTAGTGACCCTGGAGGACAGAGAACTGGCCCGCCGCAAGGTTTCCAAGGCAGTCATTTATGACAGCAGACTGCCCGTTCTTTTCTCCCACAGAGCTGCCAATCTTTTGGTTAGCAGCTTAACCATCTGTACCAAACTCAAGGCCACTACCGTTGAGTCCACGCCAACTCACAGTGACCCTAGAGGACAGAACAGAACTACTTTATGGCATTTCCAAGGCTGAGTTGTTACAGGAACAGACTGGTAAAGTGGAGTGACTGGTGGGTTTGAACCGCCAACCTCTAGGTTACCAGTATCCAAGTGCTTAATCACTGCACAGCCAACACTCCTTAACTACTTCTCTACCAGATGGTACAAAGCCACTCATAGTCACTTTCCTAGGATGACAAACGACAGACAGAACCCATAGACAGCGGGCCAGGTAGAGGTCAGGGGTCAGAGGTCAGAGGTAGTACACTTTATTGACTGGGTTTTCTCAACAGCTTGCAACCCCCAGAAAGTCAGGCCCAGGCTTGACCATTGTCTATCCATCGGACGGAGAAGAGTTTGCAGCTGGAGAATGTTCTCAGGGTCTCCACACAACAGAGCGGGCGGGTGGGCAGGGAGGGTGCTGCCAGTCAGGGATAGGGTGGGGGAGGTGCAAACAGGGCTGCAGGGCTACAGCACAAACTGCAGGCTGGGCCCTCGAGGCCTGGCCAGCCCCTCACTCCCTTCCCCTAGTTAAGGTTGTAGTGATTCACAGTGTGACTGGCTTCCGATTTGCCAGAGAGGCACCTGCCTACTCCCCCTGCCCACACTGTCCCAACTCACTGAGCTGGGGTGAGGACAAACATCCCTCCCCTGCCCCACCCCCAAGGCCCTCAGAGGGGCAAAGGGTAGAAGCCCACTTTTCCCTTGGTCCCCCACCCCAGGCTATTAGGAGGGAGGTTCACTCCTGACCTAGAAGTTTCCAGAACATCTGAGAGAACCTGCCCACTGTGACTGATCAACAGAAAAACGGTTCTAAAACCCAAGAACTGGCTGGGGCCATGGAACCAAGCTGTGAAAAACTTGGTTGGATCTGAATTTAAAAAGGTAGGCCTGGAAGAGGCCAGTTAGGGGCCAGATAGAGGGCCCACGGTATCCCCATGGCCCAGGTGGAGGGAATGGATCATGGCAGTAGGGGAACCAGGGTGGGGACCAGGGCACAATGCAAGAAGCAGTGATACACAGGGTATGACAGGTGGTCCTCCACCGGGGCCTGGGCTCACAAGGCAGCTGCAGCTGCTGTGGCCCTGTGGACAGGTCTGCCAGGTGGGCACAGGGGCCTCTGCCACCCCAGAGGATCAGGGGGAGGTAGGGGAAGGCAGGGCTGCGGATCAGGCCTTGTGGCCACCATTGGCAGGCGACTCCTTGTGGCTGGGTGTGTAGTCCGTGGCGGGTTCAAGCTTCAGCATCTGCCGCTGCAGCAGCCTGGCGTAGAGGCCGCCCTGGGCTATCAGCTCCTGGTGGGTGCCCTGCTGAACCACACGGCCCTTGTCCAGCACCACGATGTGGTGTGCCTGCTTCACCGTGCTCAGTCGATGTGTGATGATGAGCATCGTGCGCTTCTGCAGGTTGTCGTGGATGGCTTGTTGGATCTGCAGGGATACGCACCTGGCTCACACGCTGCCACCCTCACCCCAACCATGGCCCAACTCCAGTGCTTCCCACACCTGGTGTCCCCATTCGTGAAGTGAGGGATCAGCTAGGACAGGACCACGTCATGAACAAATGAGCCTGTGCACGGATGGAGCTAGCCAGCTATCTACAGACAGCACTGAGCTGTCTCACTCAGGTTACCAGATTCTCAGACTACAACTCTATGCCCTCTCGTTCCCCAAGGAAACTCCCACCAATAACCCCAGAAAGTGGATGATTGAGGAGGGCCCTCTGGCCATCTCTAAGCCCTTCCTGGCACCCATCAGCTGAATATGGGGACTCTGGCATCAGTCCCCAACACACACACACTCACCAGATACTCGCTCTCGGCATCTAGGGCACTGGTGGCTTCGTCCAGAATGAGGACAGGCGGCTTTCGCACCAGAGCACGAGCCAAGGCCACACGCTGCTTCTGGCCACCCGACAGCTGGGCACCCCTCTCACCGGTTTCTGTGGGGCAAGGCAGAGCCGCAAGGTTAGCAGGAACCACAGGGAGGGGACCACTTTCCAGAAAACTGCCAACTACGCAGGCAGGAAAACATAGCCTCCCTCCCTTGCCAGTAAGAGGCATGCAAATGAAGACTACACCGGGATACCATTTGTCATCATTCATGTGTCAAAACCCCAAAGTTGTTAATATACATTGCAGGTGTGGCTGTGGAGAAACAGACCTGCTCCTCTGGTTGCGGTGCATGTGCTTTGGGGGCAAGTCCGACAGCTTCCGTACAGTAACAGGGCTGTATCAGTGCGCCCTGTGTAAGCCGGTGAGGGCTGGTCTGTGTCGACTCAGCTGCAGTGCCCCTGGATGTTTAGCCAAACACTAGACCAGTAGCAGTTCAAAGTACACAACAAAACCATTGCCTTGTGGGTGGGAGTAGAAGAACAAGGTAGACACGGGAACACTGAGACAGGTTAGCATGGGCTAAACAGAACAGAGGTAAATAGTGATGCATGCTCAACCTTGGAACAACAAGGTAATACAGGGATTGAGGCATAATCTGAAGAGGGGAAATAATACTAAGATGTTTGAGTGTCTTATGAATATTAGTTTCCCTTGCCTACTATTGTAAAATAGACACTTGAGTGGGATAGAAAGGAATGTTGGGAAACATGATTATAGAAAGCTTGTAAGCCCGTCTTCAGCCTATAACTGATTGGAATACCTAAATGGGGTTCTAGAACTTGCCCAGTGAAATAGGCCTCTTGTGGAGCCTTTGCAGAGTATAGGACCTTAGGTGGAATCCTGAGTCCCATCTAGAACCTTCTGAGGTGGGACATCCCCACTAGAAAGGACAAGCAGACCAGCCTGGAACAGCTAGAGCAACAGAAGATGCATCTTCAAAGAAAGATCATCAGGAAAAAAACAAAACAAAAACGGCAGTATGACTGGCTACTACAAGAATAAGTATGTTGTTCACCGGGAAGCCATCAAGGCAAGCAATTAAGTTCCCTCAGGACAAACCCCCCTCTAAGACTGAAACTCAAAGGGAACACATGAGCAGGCATGTAAGCTTGCTGATGACCACATTGGTCTACTGGTGAGTGGAAGAGGGGGAAAGGCAGCAATGAAGAAACGGGCTGAGTTCAACCATGTTCCATAGACTCCTATTGACCTGGAGATGAGAGAGAGAGGAGTAAAGGCTGGTTGGTCCAAAGTGGGGTGAAACCTGGGGACACCTGAGCCCATGGACAAGATCATAGCCACAGAGGGCTAGAGCTGAGAGTAAAGCATCCAGCTGATATGAAGTGAGGGGAGATGCACAAGAACACCCAAACTTGCAGATAGTACCCATTTGACCTAGCCTCGATGGCTTGATAATCAAAACTCAACTATAGGAAGTTTTTAAAAAAATTTTTTTTAATTGTTTTTTTTTGGATAAAGAAAACAAGGGTAAATTGCTACATATTGATGAACTTGACCTATACACATTGGAGGAAGTAACTCTAAATACCACAGAAAGGGAAGGAGTCTTCACACCAAGTATCAATGCTATCCACTCTGTATACAGGGTAGATAGGGACAGGAAACTTAGAAATTGACTACCTAAAATGGGGGGTGATAATGGCACGAAGTGACTGGCTTACAAAGTTTCAAGAGGGAGTTTAGTTTAAGAGTGTGTGACAGAAGGTAGAGTCCCCACTGATGGGGATAAGATTCTTATGCTTCAATAGTAACTGTTATCATGACTAATTGTGACTGTCACAATTGTAAAAGTAGAAGTTCTGTAACAAAAACAGGGGAATCGTTAATCTTACAGTACAGAAACAGAAGACCCTAGGACCATCAAGGGAGAAGCGCACAAGCAGAATGTAGGACCTTATCCAGAGAAGCAGCAACACCAGAGATAGAGGCAGAGATGGGGACGTGGAGAGAGGGAGCAGCTGAGGGCTCTAGATTCATGGGAAGAGAGGGACTGAGAGCTGGTGGCCAAGAGGCAGACATGTAGAATAAAAATTATTATATATGCCTGAGTGTTTAAAAAAAAAAGAGCTAAAATGAGTAGAGAGAAATACTGTTAACTGATGGTACGTGGAGGGCACTATAATCATTGTAATGAAATAAGGTGTATGATTTGTTGAGTGTAAAACTGATGATCTGCCCTGTAAACTTTCACTCACTTCACAATAAAAACTTAGAAAAACAAAACAAAACCATTGCCTACCAGTCAATTCCAACTCCTGGTGTCAAAAGTGATCTATGCTCCACAGGGTTTTCAATGGCTGGTTGTTTGGAAGTAAATTGCCAGGATTTTCTTCTCAAGTGCAGCTGGGTAGAGTCCAGCCAAGCACGTTCATTGTGTGCCCCATCCAGGGGCTTTTATCATGCGACAAGCACATAAGCCTGCATCTCAGTGTTTTTTTCCTACAGATCGGCTTTCTCCCACACACACTACCACGGGTACGAGGTGTGTACGACTCACAGCACTATTACTGAAAAAAATGGAAAAGCGCTGAAATGTCCATCAACAGGGATGTGAAAAAAATCCTCTATGTGTTGGATAAATGATGGCAGACACTGGAATACTACATAGCTGTGAAAAAGGACCGAAGCAGCTCCCCATGAATACACATGGTCAGATCACAGCATCCTGGGTTGGGGTGGGGGCAGGAAGCCAAGTGTAAATAGTGTGACTATGCTGCTACTTTAAATTTTCTGTAAAAGAGTTGTTGTTGTTGTTAGGTGCCATCAAGTCGGTACCAACTCATAGCGACCCTATGCACAGCAGGACGAAACACTGCCAGGTCTTGGGCCAACCTCACAACTGATGCCACACTTGAGCCCATCGATGCTGCCACTTGGCCAATCCATCTCACTGGGGGGTCTTCCTCTTTTACTCTGATCCTCCACCTTACCAAACATGATATCCTTCTCCAGCCTAAGCGGGATAAAAATATGTATTCATATTCACATAAAGAAGCTCCAATAAGTTATATAAGAGACGAATTAAAGCTGTTTTGGTGGGGGCAAGGGGAAACTAAGATTGCAGATAGGGAGATGGAATAAAACTTCTCTGTTTAGACCATGTGAGGAGAGTTTAAGAGATCAATTTAAAAATGCAACAATGTTCTGTAACTAGATAGGGGTGGTGGTGGTTGTATGACATTGTGAATGAAGAAATGTCTCTAAATTGTGTTCCTTAAAAGGATACATTTTATGGTATCCTTAAAAGGATACAGTTTTTTAAAATGATACAATACTAAGTTCCAACTCTGAGTTAAAGAAGGCCTGGGGGTACAGTGGTTAAAGCACACAGCTATGAACCAAAAGGTCAGTGGTTTGAACCTACCACCAGCCACTCTATGGGAGAATGATGCAGCCGTTTGCTTCCACAAAGAGCTGAAGTCTCACCAACCCTACAAAGTGTGTCACCATGACTTGGAACTGATTCGGTGACAATGTATTTGAGTTTGGTACTCTGGGTTAGCAAGATGGGAAGATAGATCAGACTCCTTAGCAATTTTTGCCTCAAAACCAATTCTGTGCTAATGATCAACCTTTATTATTATTATTATTTTGGTGTATGTCATAAGTCATCTACACCTCATTTTATTGTGCTGGGCAAATTACTGTATTTGGTTCTTTTTTTTAAATGACTGGTTGATGACAACCCTGAATCGAGCAAATCTACTGGCGCCGTTTTCTCAGTAGAGTAGCAGAGGCACACTTCGTGTCTATGTACATTTTGAGCATTTTCATACTATTTCAAATTTTGTCATCATGCTATTATGCAGTATATAGATGCAGTCCCGTATCTACCTAATTTTTTCTCTATGCACCGGGAAATCCCAAAATCCGTGTGACCCACTTGATTGCAATATTCGCTTCATTACAGTGGATGGAACCGAACCCACACTTTTTGCACAGGCGGCCTGTATTGAATGGATGTTCTGCTGACTCCATCCAGCTCAGTGCTGGTGTTAAGATCACACACGGTTAGTATTGGTAACACCGTCATTTTACTCTCTTGACACTTTCCCAGTCTGACTGATTTCCATTAATTTTTTAATGAAAAGGTCTGATTTTTCTTGTTTCATTAATGACACATGACAGGACAGTTGGCTGGCAGAGGGGACAGGTGGCGGGCAGTCTCCTGGGTGTGTACCTGTGTCGTAGCGATCGTGGAGCTCCTTGATGAAGTCATGAGCATTGGCTTTCTTTGAGGCCTCTATCACGTCCGCAAATGTCCCCTCAGGCAGGCCGTAGGCAATGTTGTCTCTGATAGAGCGGGCAAACAGCACAGGCTCCTGGCTCACCAGGGAGATCTGCAAAGATGGAGGAGGGCATGAGGAGCTGGACGCATGGGCAGATCAGGAACCTTGCCAGTGTCGGCCTTGCTAGCACCTCATCAGGTCCTGGGGAGGCAGGGTGGTTGCCAGGCTGCTGCATGCCTGCCCCGTCTGCTACAACAGCAGAGCCCTGGATGTGTGCCCGGTCTCTACCTCCTTAGACAGGGAGGCTGGCTCAGTGGCCTGTGGCCATAGCAGCCTCCAAATCACAGGTACGCAACCCCCAAATACACTCCAAACCCCCGGCTGCTGCCTGCCCTTCTAAGAGGACGACTCAAAGGACCTTCAGACCTGGGTCCCCTTCTAGAAACCCTACGGACAAAAATGAAAGCAGGGAACATGTCAGTGCAACTATATTAACAACAAAAATATTTTAAAATTGTTTTGTGCTTTTTTTTTTTTTTCACCAGAAAGAACCTAGTTGTCCGTAAGTTGGGAAGTGATTAAATAATTGCATTGCACTCCCTACAATCAACATGCAGATCAATATACATATATAGCATGATTCAGTTTTTGTTGAAAAATTTTGTATGTCTTCACATATTGGTATATTTATAGAAAAGCAAGGAAGAAGTTGGAAAGGATATTTAATAAGCTGCTCATGCTGGCCAACTGTGTGGGATGAAATTCAAAGAGCAAGGTGCACGGGATGTCAGATTTTATAGTTCTGAAATTCACTAAAAATAGGAATATAGTTGGTATTTAAGAAAATTTTAAATTAATAATAAAGAGGAGATATTCACAAAAGGGGATCTCTAAATGGCCCATAAACACCTGAAAAGGAGTTATCTTTTTCCCTCCTCTTAAATGTATTTTTTTGGAGCCTAGTGGCTCCATATGATAAGCACTGGGCTGTGAATCACAAGGTCTATGGTTCAAGCCCACCACCTGCTCCATGGAAGAAAGATGAGACTTTCTACTCCTGTGAAGATTTAAAGCCTTGGAAACTCAAAACAGGGTTGCTAGGAGTCGCAATGACTCCATGGCACTTAACAACAACAACAAATTGTATTTTTGGTGAAAGTATACACAGCAAAGCTGACTCCCATGAGGGAGAAGCTCACTGCCATTAACTTGATTCTGACTCTTAGCGCCCTGTAGAACAGAGCAGATAGGACTGCTTTTTTGGGTTTCTGAGACTGCAAATCTTTACAGGAGCTGACAGCCTCACCTTCCTTCCACAGTGCAGCTGCTTGGGTTTGACCCCAACAAATAACCCACAGTACCCCAAGGGCTCCTTATTAAGGGAAAGGCCACACAAAAAAGAAACGAAAGGAAAAACCAAAAACAACCCTGCTTGTATTCAATGATCTAATGACTCAACACAGGACGATCACGACATTGGTTACGGTCTTCACATGCATCGCCAGTGACGTTTTTTTCTGTTCTACACATTCTATTCCTGTTAACTTTGTCTCCCTGTCCCCTAACCTTTCAAGTAACATCCATTTGGTCGCATGTTGATGATTTTTTAACAGAGTACAGCATTCGTGGGTGATGTTTTTACTTTCTCAGCTAACTGGTTATTTAGTTTAAAAGATGACTTCAGGGGATAGTTTCACTTCAAGGTTTAAAGAGTATCTCAAGGAAGCCAAGATTCTTTAACAATCTCAAGTTCTGTTCCACATTTTTCTCCCTTTTTATCAGAATTACACCAGTTGTGTCCCTGACCAGATGTGGTAGCTAAGCCCTGAAACTATGGTTCTTGCTCACCCTTCAGGTCTGGAACTGAACTCATCCTCGTGACTCAATTTTTAAGCAAGCAACAGACAAGTCTATAGCAGGATCAACATTAGGTAGGTATACACACCATAAATATTAAATCGTTCGAGATCAAAAGCACAGCATTTACTCAAGGACAAAACTCAGAAGTGATGGAGGAGAAGGAGGAATGAAAACAAACACAGAGAGGAGGTAGGGTAAGTGAGGATACATGAAGGGGACTGTAGTCATTGAGATGCAATGAAGTGTATGATCTGTTGAATGTAAACCTGATGATCTGCTCTGTAAAACTCTACTCAATTTGCAACAAAAAATGTCTTTTAAGAAAAGAAGTGATAGCTGGGTACCACGTGTTCTTGTCTCACAGTACAGGAGACTAAGTTTAAGAAGACAATGAATCCTGCAGCCCAGACCCTTGTCTGATTCTTGAGTTTCTTTCTTTCTCTGCTGGTCCAAAGACCCAAGATAGTACTCACCAAACGAGTAGGCAGAACACAAACTTTCAGAAGTGCAAGTGGCCAACTGACTGAATCACCCCTTAGATCGTGACCCTAAGTCAAACCAACAAAACCAAGCGTGTAAGGTGACTGATGATTTCTAAAAAGTGTCAACATCTGTGGGGCTTAATATCTTTATAGTCATCAGGGAAATGCAATTTAAAACCATACTGAGCCACCATGACATGCTCACCAATTGGCAAAAATTCCAAGCTGACAAAGTGTTGGCAGGATGGTGGGACAGCTGGAACTTTGATCCACTGCAAAATTGGTATGACCACCTTAGAAAATGGCTGTGGTGGTCACCAATAAGGAAGATCTACATCCTCTATCAATGAGCTATTTTACACTAAGGAGAAACCCTGCAGAGACCCGGACAAGAACTTCCATAGCAGCTTTGCCAGTTTGGGAAACAAACCAAACATCCATCAAGAGTAGGATGTGTGGGGAACAAACAAGATGGCAGATTGGATGGAAGTGTAGTAAGGAGCTCCGCCAGAAACAACACAGAATATAGGACCAAGCAGGCTCAGGGGATGGTCCCAGAACTCTGAACCACGTAGAAAAGAATATTTAGAAGGCTGGAAGGCTCACAGCTAGGAGAATTTGTAGCAGAAGCAAAAAATCTATTGCTTTCTAGACGGGACACTCAGCTGCTCCAGGAGCCGCCATCTTGGGTGAGACCACGTGGGGAAAGGATCGGAGCGGCCACGGATGCCTGGCAGAGCCTCAGAGATAGAGGTGTGGACATTCTTTTCTTTTGGTATCTGTTCATTGGTCCCTTGCTGTCTGGGCACTTCCATTCTGGTGACTATAGGGGTGCTTGAGCTAATGGACACCCCAGCTCCACCCTTGGAGGGTTCTGCTACATATGCGCACAGATCTCCTCTAAATTTAAAGAGACAGTTTCACTTAAAACCAAATGGCCACATCCAGCCCTGAACTGTTTATAACTACAAAAAAGGCCTGAACGGGGATTGTGGAGTGGGACAGGCAGACAAAAAAGGAAACAGGCCAAAAATTAAATCCTAAGTTACATCAAAACAACCAACAGTGGCATCTTGAAATTTCTCAAAAAGAAGAGTGAAAAGGGAAGCCCATTTCCTGATCACATCTACCTGGAGGCAATCAGAAAGCATAAAAAATACCAAAATA